TATATCATGATGCACAAACAAAAGAAGTTAATTGCATCTACACATTTAACCACAATTCATACTGGAAATCTAAACCACTGTGTAATTTACAGTAAGCCAACATTGCAGGATAAGCTGAATTAGCTTATGCTAACACTCCAGAAGTTTTGGAAAACATCATATTTGACTCTGCTGTGCTTAGACTACCGTGTAAATTCTTGCAGTTGAAGTCTCTTTTTGCAGAACCCATATGCTATTAGATTGAATTGAATTTACTCTATCAAAGCAAGTTTCAACATTTAGTAAAATCAGATGATTAAGCTGTTCCTGGATTGTATCATTTCAGGCTGTGGCAAAGAGTGAGCAGGAATAACATTTTGGAATGCTTCCAGATGACTAAGAAAAGAACCCCACTATGAACATGGAAAAATAATGTGCTGGTGAGAAAGGATAGTAAAGCAAGGACCCTACCAGGATGAGAGAACAAGCTGTACTCTTGTGCCGGTACAGATTCAGTGTGCTCTAAGGGTTGAATACTGATATAGAAAGTCAGGTCTTAAGATGGATAAGACATTAGGTCATGTAAGTTCATTGTCTCATTAGTGCTGGCCTGTGTACATTCCTGTTTTTAAACTAATACCCCAGATAAAATAAGGGAAGCCTAGAAAAAAGATGACACAAACCATCCCACTGCAGAGGGATGTGTTTTTCAAAGTCAGTTTATGACATGCTTGTGAGCCTTCCAAATCCCCTTGGACAAGGGTGCTCTCCACCCATCTTGACATGTACCCAATGATAATTCCTGCTTCAGAGCTATTTGGTTTAGCAGAAGCAAGGAGATAAGAGGAATTAGAAGCACATGGGGAAAGAAAAGAAAAGCTTTGTGCTGTCCAGTTGGTACCAGGGATGGGACTGTTTCCAGGTAGGTCCAGCTAATCCACCAAAAAAGCACCCTGTGGGTCTGCTCAGAATCAGACATAAACCTATAAAGTTCAGGGAATTCAGAGATAAGCTTAAATCTCCGGACTAATGTCCTGCCCTCAATTAACCCAATTGTCCTTCAAGTAGCAATTAATACTTGCAGTCAGGAGAGGTATTCCTTTGGGATAGTATCTTGAAAATATTTTGTCTCCTTCTAAAAATGACCGACACAATTAGCAAGATTATTCTGTGCAAGCTCCACTGAAAGAAAGAAGAGTTGCAGCTGATTCCTGAATGGATTGCTTGACAGTTCTTAATTTACAGTATATGTATTGATTTTCAGCTTTTCTTTGTATTGCCTCTTAGATGAAATACAGTCAGGGAGTTAGTTTCAATGAAACCTGTTGATGGTGAGCAGAAAAATTTATCAAAATACTGCTAAACTTGCAGCAGGACATTTTAGCAGTTTGTGAAGAATAAGAAAAGGAATTTCAACACTGAAACAATTTTAAGAAACTGGAGAGTCCCTAGTGCCATTCACAAATCCACAACAATGAACGTGTGTAATGGAGAGGACTCTATGTGTGTCCAAGCGATTTCTTATCCCAGAGAGAAAGCAGTTTAAGAGCAAGCCTGGCATTACAATTCTGCCCCTCCTGCCCCCATGTCCTCCACACACTGGATCCACCATTTTAATAAGATACCTGGGTACCCTTTGCTTGACTAGCTATTTACCATACATTTCATATAAATTGAACAGCTAATGAAAATTAAAAATTGAACACTGAACTGAAATACAATGACTGATTTTAATGGATCTGCAGCAGCCTGTCATAATTTTGTTTTAAAGCTTTTGGTGATAATGTTGCAGAAAAGAGGCTTCAAAATTCATGGTAAGTCAAATGAGGCTTTATCAAAAAATGTTAAGCAGTTTGTTTTCATAATGAAGCACACATTTTTATATCATTCTCATACATGTCCTAATCTTCATCTTCCGTAACCATTTATCACTGGACCACATGCTAAACTTGCTGTTTTTATTGTCTACCACATACTGAAGAGAAAGTTAGCCTTCCACTACTTGATTCTCTAACAGATGAAGAATTGTGGAAAGATTTTTTTCATCACTTGGCAGGACAATACAGATGACTGAGTTACCATCTGATAAATTATTATCTGTATTCATCAGTTACATTCAAAATCCCCAATAGAAATTTGTTTTCTTTTCAGTTTACCCAATAACGACAGTTCTCTGGGCAGATATCCAAGAAAAGCTGGAGATGTTGGAACTTGCACAGAATTGATTTAGAAATGATCAAAGATTTCTCAACATTTGAATAGAAATGAGGTCATCAAGGCACTTACAAATCTTGCCTTGTATACTGGGAACTTTTACCTCCTAAACTCAGACATATGTGACCTAGCTTGTATGATTATGCCAGATTCACTGAAATACAGTCTTTCTACCTATGATCCTCATTCATTTTTTACAGTTATGGCACCTAATTGAAAGCCATTGCCCACCCTACCTTCCAACCCAGTTAAGATTAACCACAGTTCAAGACATGGGAATAAACAAAGTTAACTGAAAATGAAATAGCTTCCAATTCCCTCAAAACAGCATCAAAGGAGAAAGGAGGAAGCACACGCATTCAAGGGTTGTGGAGGTAAAGCTGTGATTTAGTGGCCAGTGTCCAAATGAACATTTCCTTGTTAGTAAGACATGCATTGCTATGGCCACACCTGATTCCACACTGAAAATGAGATGATCTTTTGCTAAATCCTTCAGCACATTTGATTAAAACTCATTTGCCAGAATGAAATAAATACAACAGTGATACAGTTTGGAAAGGTGAAAAAAAGCTGATAGAGAAGTATCATGAGGTATAATACATGTTGAAACACTCTCTAATTATGTATTTATCCAGCTTACTACACAGTTTGCGGGGAGGGGGGGTATAATTAAATGTTATGAAAATGTCTACCTAGCAATATTATAATACCTAAATATAGCACCTCTTCCTGAAGCATTTTAAGTTGGTTAAAAAAAAATCTGAAGACCAAATTTTTGTTAACAGACAAATTATACTTTCAGAGAATCTGTTAACTGTAGTAAGTTAAATCTAGCAGAATGGATTTCTGGTATAATAACTTTTAATATTATGCATGCATTAGTTCTTGCCCTTGCAGTAGTTTTCTGGATTTTGGGCTATTAACACCAAGAGCAGATCAAAAACTGAATGTTCTTGTTTCTCTACAGATATTTTTTCTTATAACTCTAGGATTTGGATGAACAACTGTTAAATAATCAGCGATGACCAAAGATACAGTCACTAGTTCAGCTAACTATGTGAGGAGAACCTACCTCATGCTCCCATTTGGATTCTGAATTCAGTTGCAAAAGTAACAGATTGTTAAATCTAATGAGATTGCTGAACAATATCCCACTTTAATCAGAGGAGACTAAAATAAGGTCCTTGAAATTTCAAATATTTTCTTAAATCATCCAATATCAAACATAAACCAGTTTAAACAAAGTTAAGATACCCAAAGATTTGTGATGAAAGCCCATAAAAATAGCAAACATTGTGCTAATTGCTCATTCCCATTCCACAATAGCATAGACTAGAGTACGTATCAGTGCCTGGAAGCTCATGGCTGGTGCCGATTGGATCATCAGTCACTAGGCAAAAAGTAGAAGAGGTATGGAGTGAATCACACAATACTTTTGCTGGACTTTCCTGGCATCTTAATTTAAGGAACTAACTCAAGAGCCATACTCCTGCTCTTTTATTCAATTATACTTCATGTTGGACTTTATTCACACTTTATTCAATTATACTTTATGTTGGACAGCCTGGAATTATGCTATTGTATTCATAATTTGAATCATAGAATTGGAAGGAGCCTCTCTTTCCTCTATATGACAACCCATTAGATATTTGAAAACTGCTATATCTCCCCTCAATTGCCTCTGTAAACTAAATATACCCAGATCCTTTCACCATTCCTCATAGAACTTGGCTTCCAGTCCTTCCACCATAGTCCTGCTCTGAACTTGCTCCACTTTGTAAATATCTTTTTTTAGGTTGGAGTGCTCAAAACTGGACACTGTATTCCAAGAGGGGACTAAACATGGCAGAGTTATTTTCCATGATCTGAATATATTCTTGGTATCCCAAAACAGCATTTGCCATTTTAGCAAGTGTATCACACTGCTGGCTCATGAACCACTTCTCATCTACTAAAACACCCAGATTCCTTTTCATATGTACTGCTGCCAACCAGGTCTCCCCCATCCTATACTTGTTCCTTTCATTTTTGTCTTCCCAAATTACTTTGCATGTCTATTAAATATAGCTTTATTTGCTTAAGACTGACTAGATCTTTCTGAATCCTCTCTTTCTCTTCTAAAGAGTTAGTTACTCCTCTTAGCTTTGAGTCATCTGCAGATTTAATAACCATCCTCTCACTTCCTTCATCCCAGTTATTAATTGACATCAGTGTTTCTCAACCTTGGCAACTTTAAGCTGTGTGGA